ATGAGAGCTGGACAGCCGCTCCCATGCTCTTGTGCATGTCCTCCCTCTGCCTCTGCACCCAGAGTTCCCGTTCAGCTTCTCCTGCGTGCTGGGCCAAGCTCTTCAGGACCCTCCACACACAGGGAGCAGCTGCCTTGTCTTCCTTCTCCTGTTCTTTCTCAACCAAGGGGCTTTGTGGGTCAGAGAGACTTTTTTTTTGACAGGCAGAGTTAGACAGAGAGAGACAGAGAGAAAGTTCTTCCTTCCATTGGTTCACCCCCCAAGTGGCCGCTGCAGCCGGTGGGCTGCGCTAATCCGAAGCCAGGAGCCAGGTGCTTCCTCCTGGTCTCCCATGGGGTGCAGGGCCCAAGCACTTGGGCCATCCTCCACTGCCTTCCCAGGCCACAGCAGAGAGCTGGACTGGAAGAGGAGCAACCGGGACAGAATCTGGTGCCCCAACTGGGACTAGAACCCGGGGTGCCAGCACCGCAGGCGGAGGATTAGCCTAGTGAGCTGCGGCGCCGGCCAGAGAGACTTCTGAATCATCAGGGCCAACGCCCTGGTGTCCTTAGCTCCTCAAAGGGATCAGGGAGGGGAGAAGGTAAAACTCTGGCCAGACGGGGGTTCCGGATGAGGTCACGCTTTAAATGTAGACCCCTGCAGGAAAGGGCCTGAGGTTGCTGTTCTGCCTGATCTCCTTGATGAGGTCTCAGCCGCAGGAGGTGGGAGGAGGGGGCAATGATCCACGTGAGGTCAACCCGAGTTTGGGGCCCTCGGTCTCCTATGCTTGGAGAATGAGTGGGTTAGCAGGGGCGCCGCTCAGAGGCAGCTGGGGCCAAAGGGAGCCGGTGCACAGTTCGAGAAGAGACACAGCCTCCCTGTGCCTAAGCAGAGCCCCTGCGGAAGGCGGAGAGAAGTCCGGAGAGATGCACTTAGGGGAAGTCACCCAGTTTACCCTTACTTTACGAGCCAGTGCGTGGAGCCTGCTCACCAGCTGGCTCCACCTGGTGGTGAAGGAACGAAGCTTCTCCTAGAAGGAGAGAGGCTGACAGCAGCCCCTGAGTGAGCCTCAGGTGGACACCCACGGGGAGCAGTGTCCCCATACAGGGAAAGTTCCAGAGGCTGGAGCCAAGGCGGACGTGGCTGGGGTGAGGGCAGCCAGGGCAGTCACCCCATGAGAGCGACCCCTCAGAAGCCAGGCCCACCGGCGAGGGAGCCCATGCGAGTTCTCCAGTCCCCGAGCTGAGTTCGGGTCATTGCGGGCAGCAGAGGACAGAGGGGCTGCTCTGGGGCTGAGTGTCCTACCAGGCAACACAGCAGCTGCTTCTGCTTGGAGCTGCCTCTCTCGGGGGCTTGCGAAGAGAGGGCCAGAGCCCACCCAGCGAAGAGCTAAGAGAGGCGGAAGCTCTGGGCTCGGCGTGGCGGTGGCCGGTTGCTGTGTGAGGGTCATTAACCAGCTGACGCCAAGCAGACCAGATGGCGGGGACGGCGATGCGGGCATCCCGCACCCTGGCTGCTCCTTCCACCTCCCTCTTCTCATCCCTCCGCCAGAGATCGCCGCTCCTCCAAGAACCTCTCAGCAGTTCTCTGGCAGCCTCTGCGCCTGTCTTTAGAATAGCGGCATCCACTCACTGGCACATTGAATCGCAGTCCCTCTACAGCCGGCAGCGAGAGTAGCTGCGCACACACCAGGCCCCGTGTGAGGACGGATGTGGGCTACTGGCTACTGGGACCCAGTGAGAGGCTGAGCCCAGACTCAAGCGCACAGGGGACCACACACGTAGGGAGCCAGCGGATGTTCCCCAAACATGCCGGTGTGTGTTTGGGGAGGGGAGTGCGATGAAGAGGAGGCGCCACCCACACACCTGAGTTCTAAGAGTAATTTAGAGTCTCCAAAGGGCACAGCTATTCCCATGTTGCATTTTGAGTGCAGTTCTGACACAGTGACCTCAGGTTCATTTCGCAGGTGTCAGAGGGCTCAGGGAAGCCACGTTCTTATGTCTCAGAGAAGAGGTACTGGGACCGGCCATCTTCAGAATCCGAACATGCTAGCAACTGCTCAGAGGCCTCCCCAATGCCTTCCCTGGCAGGGTACCCAGGCCCCGTCACTACGCCAACCTGAGACCCTTACAAAATGCAAGCAACCCAGCTGAAGCAGAATGAGTCCCTTATTTCCACCTGTGTGCGTCCGCGCCCGCTCCGATTTCTATCAGAACCAGAAAAAACTACTGTGTATCCCCAGGGACGCTGCAGCAGCCAGCAGCTTTATTCCCACTTCAGAGGGTTCACCTTCACAGCGATCAAGGGCTCTCATCCGTCAGGCAAGGCTCTGTGTGTCCTCTCACGGTGCCACTTGTGCAACCAGGAGTGGATCCAGCTCCAAGCCACAACCCCCCGTCTTCTTCCCCCTCATCATTTTCCTGCCTCGTCTTATTTTCCTACCTAGAGAGTAGGGGAGGATTAAAACCCAAGAGAACTTGGAATTTTCTATGTAGAATTCTTTTCCTCTGGGATTTGTTGTTTGGACATGGATGGATTAGTTCACCTCTCCTGGCCTCAAATTCCCTCATCCTCCCTCGAGAAGTGTACTTGCTCTAAGTAGGGATGGGGAACCTTTTTATTGCCAAGGGCCATGTAAATATTTTTAACATCATTCATGGGCCATACAAAGTTATCAACTTAACAATTAACTTGTTACAGATTTATTGAATTTTGAGTCCTACCTAGGGTTGCCTTGGCAGGGCCAGGCCAAATGGTTTCAAGGGCCTTATCCAGCCCTTGGGCCAGATGTCCCCGGCTGCTACTAAAAGCTCTGGGAGTCAGTGAACCCAGTGGCTGTGAGCAGTGCTGTGTCTCTCACACCAGGGAGGTCCCCATCTGTCCACAGCACATTGTCGCCAACCTTGGGGAGCTCTGAGAATCACGCATGACGGGCATCGACTGGGCACCCTTTTAACACTTGCTCAGTGAAGAGGAAGCCCCATTAGTTTGACAGCCACAGTCTTGAGCCTCAGAAAGTCGCCCGGAGAGACAGAGCCAGAGAAGGAGGGAGAACATTGCAGTGAGTGGGAACTCTCAGTTTGGGGGCCAGAGTTGGAGCAGGGTCAGGGATGGCAGAGGGCTCAGCACTGAGGACTTTGAGGCTGGGCTGGGCTACAGGTGGCTGGAACACGCCGGCAGGCTGTCAGTGAAGGAAAGGGGATAGTTGGGTTAGGAAAGCCACAGCCAGATTAGCTGGGTGGGGTGGAGGGAAAGGTTACCCCAGAAAAAGGATTAGTGCTTGAGAATTTCAGAGCTGAGAGAGGGGAAAAGGTGTGGTTGGTGGATACAAAGCAGGTTTGCCTGGATTTGTAACCAGTCGGGAAGGGTGGGGTGGGGGTGACAAGCAAATACGTCTGGATGTGTCATTCACCAGGGTGGGAGAAAGATGGAAGAAGTGGACGTAAGGGTCTCAGGTCACCCCGACGACCCAAAGGGTCTGTTGTTGGTCCATTCCATCATCCGAGGCATGCATCTCCACTAAGGCAGACAGCTGATGCCCATCTCGGCTCGCCATCCCCCACCGCTTCCCCATCTGCTCATGTGCCTGGGCATTCTACCCCCTCCCCCGGGATACTTCGGGGAGAAAGAGTCCATGGCAAGGCCACAGGGGATGCAGGTCTCCCTCTCAGGCCAATTCATCCAACCCTCCGGCAAGCTTACTGCTTAGCCCTCCCAGCATAAACCCTAAGCATGAGTCTGAGCTGGAACCCGGGTGACATCATTGTCAGGGAGCCAGTGCCAAAAAAATCAGGTGAGTCGTTTTCATCACAAAAGCTGTGTCAACAGGTGACTGAGGGGAGTAGGGTGAGTCATGTGTGACAAGTAAGGAATGAAAACAGAGCAAGCCTCCTTCTTATAAAAGCCAGCTGGCCACAGCTTCCACATCAGACCAGAGGGACCAGACAGCCCGTTCCTCTCTGTGCACCAGGTGAGTCTCTTACTGAAATGCTTATTTGTTTTCTCATTATTAGAAACATGTGCATCAGGGTCAATGCGGGGTATTAATTAGAGTTAGAGAATATTGGAAAAATTTTATTTCAGATTGAAGCACTGTTTGGGTTTGAGGGTATCTTAGAGACACTGAAGTCTGCCCACACAGTGGACAGCCATGGCAAGAGATCTGCTCAAGTGCCCACAGGGAGTTCATAGCAGGAGCCAGGGCTCAAGCTCAGGCCCAGAACACTCTTAGCAACATGACAGTTCTCTCTGAAAGGATACTAATGGAGGAAATTGTAGTGTGTTAAATGGAACTCTACTGAGCTCTGATTACCTTTAAGGAAATGTACCAGATCCTTGGACAAATCAGACCAAAGTCAAGCTCACTAAGTAAACTTAAGCCTGGCAGAGAAGGTTCTGCCTGTGCATAAGTGGATGAAGTACAAGGTGAAGAGTGGCAGGGTGGGGAGAGCTGTACGGGAGGGGGCTGTGCTGCTTTGAGCAGCAGCGCTGAAGGGCAGCCTGCTCAGGTGGGGAGTGACGAGTGATGGGGGGGGGGG